TCAATATCAACAGCAATTTTAAATTTATAGAGTGCCTTTTACATCGGGGAGGACCTCTCAAATGGCTTCACGAGCTGGCTGGGAGCCCTAAAGCGGGGGAGCTGGGGAAGGTGGGTGGGGGGAAGGTAACCAAAAGCACGGTTAAAAAGAAAAGTCTTAAGGCAGTCTTTAAAGTCGGGGCAGGAAGGACAATTCGCAAGGTTCACTGGAAAAGTGTAGTGACTCTGCATCCTTTGTAAGCCAACAGAGGAAGGCTATACTGTACATGTGTGTATGTTTGTAGGCTATCTAAGAGCAGATTCGCCCATAAAATACACAGTCAACCCGCTTTACAGTTTATCCTGAGTGTGGGAGATTGTAGAGGTGAGAGCTTAATAATTCTGGGCTTGCCTGCGATGTGACAGCTGTGGTGCAAATGTGGCCTCAGACATTTGTCATGTATTTGTGCTGGAAAGTGTCTATCAGGAATCAGCACATTTTACCCAGAGGAGGAGCCCCTAGGGCTGGAGCTCGCTCTCTCCTATTATCCACACACAGCTATCCAAATATTCAGCAATGTTTGCGCTCACGGGCTGTGACCTTGGATTCATATTAATTAGCTCCTCAATTTACAGCGTCATCGGTGGCAAAAAAAACACTTCCCCCTCCCCCCCACTCCTCCTCCTCCCCACTAATATTAACATAACATTGTATGGCATCCATGGCAACCTAGCTTTCCTCAAGGGGTGGCGGGGGTGGGGGCCTGCGGTGAAATTGATGTGCGAGGTACCAGATTTCCCCTCCTGACGTGCTCGCTTTCCACTCAGTCTAGAAATCAAATGAAACCCAAAACTTGCAAGATTCCTGAAATCCCAGCGGGCTCATCCGATGCCCCTGCCCCGGGCCTCTCTGTGTCGTTGCGTTAAGGATGATGCCAGGAAGTATTAAAATGTTCTCAGCATATTCGTGTTTTCTTTTGACAGTTTTAATAATGACTCGATCTATTTATAACTCCGAGGAGGCACACCACATCGGGTTGTTGGGACTTTCTGGGACCCGTTCAGAAATCTGCAGAGCACATGTGCTACATACCCATTGCTTACCACCGTTCTGGTCTTAAGTTGGTTGAAACGAAAGCGCTTTTGTTTCTGCGTGCTTGGGACGTCCTCCCGATGTATAAGGCGCTATATAAATGCAGGTTGTTCTTGTTGTTGTGCTCTTCCAAGGTGATGCACCCCCCCCACCCCCCGGTCTCGTTGGAGACACCGTGCCTTGATGAACTGCATTTGTGTGTGGAGGCTGGTCACTCTCTGCTTCTTTGCACAAATGGCAGCTCTTTACGTGTGTGAGGCTCTAGTCAGCATGGACGAGCTTGATCTTGCGTTAATGTAACATTTTCACAAGGTCACTTTCTGGAGAGGGCAGCGCGGGGGGGAGGAGTGGGGGTGGCGGGGGGGCCTGGATGAATAACATTGAGAATTGGAGAGCCAGGAAGACTCCACCGTTAGATGTCTTGTCTCTCCATGGCAACATGGAAACTCCTTGTCTGCTGTGACCGAGGCAGACCGAACCTAAAATGAACAACGCAAAGAATGGGATGATGATATGGACAAATATCATATAATTGCTCATAATATAAAAAGTTGGAAACACGCCAGCAACATCCTGCAAACAACAAGTGAAGTGATTGTTTTTTTTTGGTTAGCCAGGTGTCTTAACACACGCAGAAGCCCGTCACCATGCTTAAGGGTGTCCAAACCGAACTGAGAATTCCATGCATCCCACCTACACGTGGAAACAGCGAGTAAAATTAAAATTCAAGATGGTAACACCTCCCTCCCCTGTGGTAAATGCCGAGGCAAGACATACCTAACACACAATTGTTGGATGCTTCAGGGCTGCATAGAAGTCCTACTGCTAATCTTGTGGACGTATCTGTGAGGGACAGATAGGGAACATTCCTGCTTGTTTTGTTGCCTTTTCTCTTGCCTCGCACATTCCATGTTTGCTACACACTTTGTTCGCTGAAGTCTCCAATGCTTGTTGGGCCCTCCCGCCCCCTGCACACTTTCACGTCAAGCACACTTACTGACGCACACGCTATAAAGTCTCTCTCCTAGCGGTCTCTCCCGACCGTTTGCTGGGCTCATCACAAGTAACAGGATTGTGTTCTGGACCGACCGGACCCACAGCTGCACATCTCTCATTTCATGAATGCCGGGCAATTTCACCTGATCTCTGGAGGCGAAGAAGCCAACGCAGCTTTAATTCAGAGCAGTGAGTGACCGAACATTATTAATCTGTGAGCAGAGGGCCTGGATGAATAACATTGAGAATTGGAGAGCCAGGAAGAGTCCACCGTTAGATGTCTTGTCTCTCCATGGCAACAGACTGCTAGGAAAACAAGGTGTAATGTACCAGAGTGCGAGACGGCTTGCTGTTCGCTACAGCCGTGGCTTTGACATTTGTGCTCCTCCAACACACTGAGACCCCGATCAGTGGCTTTGCTTGGTTTATTTTGGAAGTGAAGGATGTGCTTTCATCCTCCCTGGGTCTGTGCTGTAAGCTTTACCTTACCCGTCAAGGAGTGGAGAATACTGGGAGGAAATTAGAGACGATCAAACGAGAGAGAAGGAAAGAAAAAGTGCAGTAAAGACGTCCTTGGGTTCTGTGCAGAACCTGGGAATGTTTGTGGATTTAATGCCCTGATATACCCAGTGCCCACCAGAGCTTGGGGCTGTGCTGTTTGAGGTTGTTTTGGATGATTCTCACTGTTGTGAGAGCAGTAAACCGGGCACCGCAAAAATCAACAGCAGCTCAGAGTCACAGAGGCACAAATCAATCCAGAGCTCAATGACATGCATGATCAAGCTGGAGCTAATGAACCCAATTGTAGCCTTGATCTGAGGTGCTGCAGCTTTCACAGTGAGGTGAAAACCACAGCTGCAATTAGAACCCTGTCCGCCAAATGTTTAATTGCTTTAGTTCATCATAATGTGACAGACTCTGTAGGTCTCGGTGATTTGTAATTGTAGATCTTTACGAGACGCTCTGTAAGGTGGTAAAGTGTGCTCGTCCTGGCTTGTGATGGTCACAGATCATCGTTGTGCACAGTGTCCGGTCCGCAGCTGACTTCCTGAACAGACGTTTGGGTATAATTGCTACAACCACTAGAGAAAGGGATGACTGGTTTCCTAACGTGCCCCACTGCTGTTACAATGTGGTGTTGTCACTTTACACTCAGATGTTTTCGTGCTTCCTTGGAGACAGGCCCGGAATGGCTTTATTCAGCCTGTCGGGACTATTCTTAGTAAATACCTGATTTAGGTAAAAAATCTCATGATAGGGAGATTGGTGAATAAAATACCCAGAGGGGCAATTGAGTCAGGTTGTGTCTGTAAATCCAAGAAGGAATTAGACAGTTATTTGTGAATAAGTTGATTGAGAGATATGAGAGAGAAATAGTGTAGGAGTTTGTTTTGGACTGCTTAGATAGACAGCAATAGTCTTTTCTGGTCTTTACATAATAATGATGATCCTTATATTTGATATATATTCATGTTGGAGGGACGTCTTATTCTAAAGTGTAATAACTGTGTATTTTGGTTCTTAAATCTCCCTTTTCTTCCGGGCTGAGCTGAATTACTCCTCTTGCCTCCTTCAAGGCCCATCTCAAAACCTTCCTCTTTGACCGTGGCTTGAGCCACCCTCCTGATTTCCCACCCTCAGTTTCGGGTGCAAACCCTCAACAGTCCAGCGCCTTGGGACGTCTTTCCGACGTGAAAGGCGCTCTATAAATGTAATCTTGTTGTTGTTGATTTAAGTGAGTGTCTCAGTGCTCCTGAACTAGGGAGAGAGAAACTCAGTTAGGATTCCTGTTCCTGTTTAAATCATGGTTCAGTTGGCACGTTCAGGTGGATGGCACTAATCGAAAAGAGAAGAGAGTTTCTCTCCAGTGTCCTGATGCTCCCGATTAGCTGGTCATTCACCTCATGGCTGGTTTTGGGACATTTCTGCTGCAATTGCCAGGAAAAAGGGTCTCTCCGCCTGACAGTAACTACTTGCAAAGCACTTTGAGATGTTTCGCCATGTTAAGGCGTGATTAAAAATGCAAGCTCTTTCTTTATAAAGTGACCCCTGCCGGAAAGTGTGTGTATGTGACATCAGGGGCACAGTCAGCTTTAAAACTGCTCATAATTGAATCACTGATCAGCACTCACTTGATCTTATGGTACTCTGATATCTAAAATATTGATTCATTTGCTATGATAACACAATGGGGTTTCCTAATATAAGCTCATCACAAATAATTTTTAACAGTCAGTATACAGACATGGGCACACTGTCTAACACTGTACAACCAGTGTTTTTTTTTGCAGCCCATTTAATTTCGCTATGCAGATTTTAAAATCCAATTTCCACATTTAATTTTTGTGTGAAATTAAATTGCCCAAAACAAATAGATAATGAGCTCTTTCCTTTATTATTATAATAGGGACGACAAGCACAATACAATGTGATGCAGTACAAATTTACATTTATATAGTCCCAAAGCTATTAACAATACTGGCTAGGCATCCGAGCTGGAGGTGGGAGCCAAGGGGCTGGGGAGGGGAGAGATTTTGCCCACAAAATACACACTCTCCATTTTATAGTATATTCTGTGAAGCACTTTGAGATGTCTTGACGACGTGAAATTTTTGCGAGGATTACTAGTAGTATTATTATGACCAAAAGCACTGTTAAAGAAGTAGATCTTGAGGTGGACCTTGAATTAGGTCTTTTCGATTGCATGAATGTATGTGGCCACAAACCAAGAGCTAAAACAAAGTGGTTTTATGGTATTACAAATGAAAAGCGGCCACTTGGGCAAAGTAATAAAAATAATCCTTGTGTTTGATATGGCGCTTTACCATGTCACCAAAACGTCTCACGATTTACCGTAAAGTGTAGTGACTGTGTATTAGTAGGCGAACTCAGCAGCCAATTTCTTCCACAATAACGTCACATGTAGAATGCAGCGATTCCACTGGGTGGCGTGTTCCTGAGACCATGGAATGATTTATCACTGTACTATTTCCTCCTTTTTTTCACAGGTTGTACTTCCAACCAGAGTTGGCCAGGTCTATGTGTATGACACAGCTCCACAGATGGAACAAGATGAATACGATGTCCCCCCATCCAGAATTCCTCCCCCTGCTGCTCCACAGGAGATTTATGATGTGCTCCCCACAAGAGGCGGGATGGTGCTCTCTGGGAATCAGTACGGGCAGGAGGTGGGTAGCCAAGCTTCGTTAACATAGCATTCGAAAGAATCGTGAAAATTAGAACCTGATGAGCTTCCAGTGTTGCCTTTTGAGGAACTCTTTGCAAAGTTATGTTTTCGGCATCTCAAAGCAAGGCGACGGTGGGCTCGGAAAAGTGAAGCTTCCTTCAGTGGGATTTATAAGTAGCGACTCGGAGTTTCTAACAGGGGAATCCTGCCAGTTACCGATAGTACATCACACCGGCTGACTTTCTCCCAGGAGATGGCTGTGATATGCTGTTTTCTTACTAGGGGCTCCAAGTTACTATTTGTGAGAAAATGCCATTAGGAATGTACACTTATCGACCCCCAGTATCTGGTTTGTTGACATAAAGCATATTGAAAATGTGTCTCTTGAGTTATTGATCTTCTGAGTCTTCCCTCTCCTCACAGGGAAAAAAGTTTGACAAACTTTTTTTCATGAAGACAGCATCCCCTTAATAGGCATACGCTTTGTGTTGTGGTAGTTTACAGTTGGTCCAAAACAAATACACACCAGAGTGCGACAAGCAGGCAAAACTCTGGGAAATGAGGAAGGCCACTAAGAAGGGTGGGAGAATTTCAGTCACAGGGAGCAGCAATTGACAAATGCACTTTCTTGAATATTTCCATGAGATTCAGTGGGAGATCGGGCTCAGTGCCAAGACTGTATGTCTGGCAAATGTCACAGTAAAAAAATGCTTTTTTGCATACTTAGTGGTTTGTACTCTGATAACTAAAAGGAAATAGTCTAAAGATTTTTCATGGATAAAAATTGTGGAAAAATGATTACAAACATCAGCGGGACAGGATTAATTGTGGTTAAAAGCTTGGGGTCTTGTGATTTATGGAGAACATATTTTAACCTTGCTCCCTTTTCTTTTAGGTGTATGATACTCCCCCTATGGCAGTAAAGGACCCTAACAGTAGAGACAAAATGCAGGACATTTATGATGTACCACCTAGTGTGGAAATGAATCAGCAAGGTCATCAGACTGTGAGTATTCCATTCCTAAATAATAAATAATATACATTTAATATAACATTTTTCATGTTAGGAGGATGTCTGAAAACGTTTCATAGGATTTATTATTATTAAAAATAATGATAATCTTTCCATTTGATTTAGTGCTTCCGTGTTGGAAGGATGTCTCAAAGCGATCCATGGGTTCATTGTAAAGTGTAGTGATTGTTTTTGTGGGCGAATGCGTTAATGACCAATTTTATTACAGGGATTGTTGACCAGAACACTGGTAGAAACGCCTTTTTTTCAAATAGTGCCACAGGATCTTTAACATCTGTCTATGATGGATCCCAGGTTTAATATCTCCTCTGAAGGACGGCATTTCCAGCAATGCAGCCTAGCACGGCATTTGGAGTGTCAGCCTGAACTGTGAGCTCAAAGTCCTGACAAGTGACCTGAACCCACATTCTTCTGACTCGAAGGCGAGAGAGCTACCAATTGAGCCATTCTTGTCTGACACCCAAGTTAAAGCTGACAGTGAAGGGCTGTGTTCCCAATTCTGACATAAGAGTCTGAATTATAGTCCCAGAATGAATGGGAAGAGAAGGGGAATCTAGGAGGTGGCAGGAAAGTCCTGGGGGGAGGGAGGAGTTGTCCCTCCCAAATGGGTAGGGCAAGGTGGAACCCTAGTGTAGCACCATTGTAATCTGTCGACCAGAACAGTAGAAATCTCAACTCAGTGGGAAGACCATACAACCCATTATTATTAGTGTCAGTGTTTCCTGCTCCAATGAAGCAAACCTAATTGCCACATCCTCTAATTCTCTTCCTCTGCATTTGCTCATCTAATTTGTTTTTAAAAAAATTCTCTAATCAACTCTCCTTGTTGGGTCCTTTACCTCACCCTTTCGACTGCAGGGACTTTGGGTGAAAATGTTCAGTCTTCGTTCCTGGATCTGATTCAATGTCTTTCCCAATGCAGGTCTATGATATTCCTCCGTCTGTAAGTAAAGATGTCCCAGACGGCTTTGTCACAGAAGATACGTATGATGTCCCGCCATCATTTGCTCACAGAACAATGAAGAAGAATTCCGACCTCAGGAGGTACCCAGCTTCACCCCAAAACCCTGCTGTGCAGGACGGCTATCCGCCTGAGGATGTGTACGATGTACCTCCACTGGCGGGAAAGCTTACAGATACGTCCTTCAACCAGGATATCTATGACGTTCCTCCAAGCCAGAAGATACTTGGAGGGCAGAAGACAATCACTCAGGATGTGTATGATTTCCCGAGGGACCTCAGCGTGCCAAATTCAGGAGGCAAGGGATCCCTGAACGAGGAGTCTGGTGGGGATTATATTTACGACGTGCCTCCTCAGGTGTGTAGAGATGCCACCACGGAGGACATCACCAACAGCTTCAAAAGGCTTTCAGCCTCCAGCACAGGCAGCACGAGGAGTAATATCTCAACGTCTTCCCTTGACGTCATCCCTGTCAAGGAGTCTTCGAACACCTTGCCCAAGCCAAGTGGCAGGGAGCTCAATTTGGACTTAGAAGCGGCGATGGAAATGCTGGCAAAGCTGCAGCAAAACGTGGAGAGTTCCGTTTCTTATCTCATGTCCTTCATCATCAGTAGCTGGAGGAACCGCGAGCACATGGAAGCCAACGTGCAGAACATCCAGAGCGGGGTTGAAAAGGTAAAGAATTCTGTGAAGGATCTTCTGGAGTTTGGCCGAGGAGCTGTTGCGAATTCCACGCAAGCGACTGATCGCACTTTGCACACCAAGCTGAGCAAACAGGTGCAGAAAATGGAAGAGGTCTACCAGGTGCTACTCAAACACAGCCAGGCATTGGACAACTGCAATTGGGCGCTTAATGTTTTGGTAATGAACAAGCAGAGTTCATCAGATGACCTCGACAGGTTTGTCATGTACTCACGGGGCATCCCCGATGATACAAAGCAGCTCGCGTCTTTCCTTCACGGCAATGCTTCGCTGCTCTTTAAACGGACAAAACAGCAACCATCACAGGGGGATCCCAAGTCTAACCTGTCCCAGTCGGGCCTTGACAGTCACTCAACCAACAACAACAATATATCGCACTCTCAGACGGGACACGCAGACAAGGCCAATATACAGGCACGGCCTCTGCCATCGCCACCGAGATACACTGCTGAAGAGGCCCCAGACACCCAATACGAGAACAATGGTAGTGGGTGGATGGAAGACTATGACTACGTTCACTTGCAGGTTTGTAGGCTCAAATTTTGCTTGGGTGCAATCGCCCAATTGTTTGTCCTTTGACTGGTTAGTATGTGTATGAAATGACACACGGAGTCACATCTGTGTAAAGCTGCCGATTAGCAGGGGTTTACTATGTTAAATGATGGCTTGAGCAGGTAGAGCCCATAGGAGCTGAGTGGGAAGGATCTCATCGACTCGCCACGTCGTTCACTGCAGCTCGTTGCAAGTATAAGTATTGGGATCTAATTTGCAGGATTTCATCATAAGATTCCTTATTAATTTGTCCAAGTGGGATCTCTTTTCGGTATCCAGAAGTACATCCCACCCCCTCCCCATTCCTGGGAATTGGGTTCCGATGCAGTCACTTCCGGAGCAGATTTCTACCAGGAATTGTAACCAAAATCCTTATCAAGAACTACTTTACAAAATAAGACACCATTATTTTTAAGTTAGGCTAATATGAAGGAAGAAGGATTTTTCAACACACTTAGCGAATCTGGAAATTTAAACCCGAGGGCAAAAAGCATAAGAAAGGTCTGAAAAGAGAAGCTCATTGATTATAAAACATTTTCGCTCAGTCATAAAGCTCAAAGTTGACTTCTGTTTCACATCCTCCTGTTTGCCAAATAACTGTGGTTTAGATGTAAAAGCGTTCTTGACTTTCAAAAGCGCACTCTGAGGGTGATATCAATTTGAATTGATTAATCTTCACGAATGAGTGATATAGGCTTAATGACTGAGCATCCACTACACACTTCAGGTTTAAAGAGATCTTTTGGAAGATTCAGTGTTCCGGCTACGCCAATCTTTTTGAAGATCGTTACTGGTCAAATTTGATTAATCTTTTTAAAATAATAATAATACTTGCTTTTGATATGGACCCTGGTCATGCCTATGAGACAACAACAACAGATTACATTTGTATAGTGTCTTTCATGTCGGGAGGACGTCCCATGGCCCTGGACAGGGATTTGGACCTGACCTGGTGGTTGGGATCAGGAGGGTAGGGAGAGGGCAGGGAGGATAGGGGTAGGAGTGTGACCGAAGGCATGGTCAAAGAGGAGGGTCTTGAGATGGGCCTTGAAAGGGGCAAGGGAGGGAGCAAGGCGAAGGGAGTGGAGTTGGATGGAGTGGGATGGAGTTCCAAAGGGTGGAGGCAGAGAGGCTGAAAGCCCGACCGCTGATGAAAGGGAGACATCTCAAAGCACTTTATACTGTAGGACATAGTGCTGATATATTTTGTTGGCAAAGTAATACAGCATAAAATATTAATGCAGCAAAGTCAGCAAACAATAACACATTTTAGTTGTACACTAATCTGGCTTGTTGTTATAATGAAATATAATTTCAAATATTTCCCTGTGTTGAAAGCAGGCAACATTTCTGAGACTTGGACTTACAATGTTGTGAAGTTAAAGTGTCTCCTTGTGGTCTATTTCCTGCAAATGCAAACAAGTGAAAGGCATCCTACAATTAGAAGCTACTACATTATATTATTATACAGATCATTTTCACTTCCTATTTCCAATCCGGCTTTATTGGAAAATTATTTTGCCAAGCGAAACCACAAATGGTTTTGCAATAAACTTGAAACAAAACTTACTTATAAACTTACCTAAAGTAACATACAAAAATACAGCATTTACAAATTTTTAAATAGAACAAAAATGGAACATCTCAACAAACGAAAGGCACATGCCTTTACATGTAGAGAAATCTTAATCTCTGTGTAATTGTTTTATGTAATAATGGACTTAACAACAACACCGAGCTGAAGGTCGCGGTTGGGGAGGGCAGGGGGGGAAGCAGGGAGATCTAAGCACAGTCAAAGAGGAGGGTCTTGAGGTGGGTCTTGAAGGTGGCGAGCAAGAGGGCAAGACAGAGAGTCTGTGGGATGGAGTTCCAGAGGGTGGGTGCAGAGTGGCGGAAGGCCCGCCTGCCTATAGTGGGGCGAGCGAGGCGGGGGACATGAAGCAGGCCGGAGCCCGCTGAGCGGAGGGTGCGAACAGGGTGGTAGGGAAAAGTCCAGAGCAGGCCTCTATTATTGCAGTGAGTCTGATTTTGGGTGTCAGTTTAATCTGTTTAAAGGAATGAGCTGCCTGAGTTTGTTGGTTGCAGGTAGAAATCAATAGTGCTGTACAGTTATTAAGGAAAGAACCTTCATTGTGTGATGAGAGTTCACCAGCGTTAGGTCCTGGAAAACCGTGGTTGACTATTCCAACTATGTGCCCCCGTCTCTGACAGCAAAATAGGTTGAGTGACAAGTAAGATAGATTGTCCACCGTAACTGGTCCCAGTATCACATTCCAGAGCCATACAATCAGACCAGCTGGGAATTCTTTCAAAATAGGTCTTTTAAGAAGAAAATCAAATGAGAAATTTTATTAAAAACTGAGTTATTCCTGGAGGTGCAAAGATTCATTCACCAAAATAAATTAACTTAAAATCTAGAAATAAGCTTATCGTTAAATTCATATTTCAAACTGTTTAAAAATTTTTTTTTTGGGTGTCCTCTAATCCTGTTATATTCACCTTACCTGGCTGCTTTCAAAGCACAAATAATTTACGCTGTATTCATTGAATCTGCAGATCATTATGCTGTGTTATGTTACAAATATTTTTGTAAGGAATATTTGGAGTTAAAGCCCTGATTTTGCTAATTAATTTGGCCCAATTGGTAGTCAGCAACATATTTTGTGACATGCTTAAACATGTTGTTTATGCATTTCCTTCACAAAATATAGGATCACTTCACTTTGCAGTATATTCTGTGAAGCGCTTTGAGATATCTCGAAAACGTGATAAGGCACTTTATCAAATGCAGGGATTATTACTGTGGTCGCCACTCAGACCAGCCTTGCAATACCCATCTCCCACTCCGCCAAGGAGATGGTGAACAGTCACTGAGTTAACCCACTGTACTCAGGAGCTCACAAAGGTGCTTGCTCAGTTAGCAGCCAAAGAACCACACAGCGTAGAAGGCCACTGTGTCTGTACTGGCTCTTTTAAGAGCAATCCTTTCAGTCCCATTTACCTGCCTTTTTCCCATACACCAGTAGCTTAGTCCTCTTTAGCTATTCATGTAGTTCTCTCTTGAACTATGTGAGGACATACTTCTCTTTTGGAATGAATACAGTAGGGTACATCAACAAGAACAATTTGCATTTAGACAGAGCTATTCACGCAGGATAATGCCTTGGTGAGTGTGGGGTATTTGTGGTGCAGTTATTGTCTTGTGGGAAACTGAGCCATACAACTGACCTCCCAAATGTTATTCTCAGTGTGTGCTGAGTTGAGCTGAGCTGAGGTGGGTGGGATAATTGGCGTTAATGTCTCAGATGTGTGTGTGTGTGTGTGTGTGGCGGTGCAGAATCAAATCAGTTTTGCTTCTAATCATTGTCTAGTGACATCTGCTGGAAAGTGCGTGTATTTGCTGAGTTAGAACAAGATTAGGCACAATATTGCCCTGTTCTCCCTCGATCATTCTTAACCTCATCCTTCTTGTGCCCAGTCTGGAAGCTTCACTCCTTTGCCAGATGTTGCACACAGTCCTCCCAGCCCTTACCCCCCCCCCCCCCCTCTGACAACAAGGCAGCCGACAATGGAACACCTTTTGGAATGATTTGCCGGAACGTGACTTGTGATGCATGTTGTGTGTGCGTGTGTTTTGTCAATTTTCAGGGGAAGGAAGAGTTTGAAAAAACACAAAAGGAGTTGCTGGAGAAAGGGAACATCATACGACAAGGCAAAGCACAGCTGGAGCAACAGCAGGTGAGAGCTTGGAGCGAGATCCTGATGTGGAGGGCAGAGTCCTGTTCAGTTATCGTTCATGCATTTTACTTTTATGAATGCGGATACTGCAGCACTCACAATGTCCGGACGTAGTGGAGGCGTCCCACCCCTTTCCTTTGGACCCTTCATGCCAGCAAGTCCCAAGAGACAGTCTTGAGTCTCCTCATGTCAGCTTTGTCTCTTCCCGACACTTTATCCCCTCCCCCCCCCCACCCCACCACCCCACCCCACAGTCCAGCTGGGGTTCGAGTTTCATGCAGTTCAGGCTGTTTTGCTATCTTGCTAGGTTGCCATTCTTTGTGTGCGATATAGGCCGTGAATGCTGTCAGGATAATCAACTGTGAGGAGCAGAGACAGCACAGCTGCGCTCGGTACATTTCTCAGCCACAAGTATGCACTTTCCAGCAGGAGTCACTGGATAGGGAGCAGGATTGATGGTCTGATTTTATCCTTTCTAGCCCGGGATACCGAGGCCAATTGTAGCACCCCAAATGGTCTGAGCTGAGATCAGCTGAGTTTGTAAGGATCAGGATCAAATCTATCTGGTCTGTGTGGCCTACTGCTGAACCTGTGGTGCCTCTATCCACAACTGGCCTAAGATTCCTACTGTTTATTGACATTTATCATTTACTACCTACAGGTCAAACAGTTTGAGCGTCTAGAGCAAGAGGTAACCAGACCTATTGAGAATGACCTCTCAAACTGGACCCCAACCCACCAATACGCACAGGTTAAGAGCAAGCTGAGCACCTCGGACAGGCAGCTCCTTTTGTTTTACTCAGAACAGTGCGAGTCAAACATCACAACATTAATCAATGCCATCGATGCCTTCTTCACATCCATCAACAACAACCAGCCTCCCAAAATCTTCGTGGCGCACAGCAAGTTCGTCATTCTCAGCGCGCACAAGTTAGTCTTCATCGGAGACACTCTCTCCCGCCAGGCCAAGTCACAAGAGGTCCGCAATAAAGTCACGCACTACAGCAACCTGCTCTGTGACATGCTTAAACACATTGTGGTGACTACCAAGACGGCAGCCTTGCAATATCCATCTCCCACTGCTGCCAAGGAGATGGTGGACAGAGTCACCGAGTTATCCCACTGTACACAGCAGTTCAAGATGGTGATAAGTCAGTTAGCGGGCATGTGAGGATGTGCAACAGAGCACCTTCAGACTAAACTGTACATTCGTTGCATTTCAAGATTGAATGAATTAAACCACTGTAAATGGAATACTGTAAATATTTGTCCTAAGAAATACCCCTGCAGAGAAAAAATACGTTTTTGGTCTGTTGGAAAGAATTCAGCGGGGGTATTTTTTGTTAAAGACTTTACCATTTATAATTAATCAAGGGTGTTTAAATTCTGAACGCTGTTGTGTTCCTTTTTTTAAAAAAAAAAGTTCATTTAATGTTGTGTTCTGTAAAATGAAAGCAGAAATAATTATTTTCAGCGTTGATTTTAAATTGTGGACGTGTGGGTTATATTTTAAAATTTATTAAAGTAAAAGGAAGATTATCAGAACAACGAAAATAGACGGAGGACATTTTTCTACTGTGGCAATTAGCTAAGTAATTGTTTTCGTTGTCACGGGACTGTGTTAACTGGCAAAGTATCGCGGCTGCATAAGAGTTCTGATTCTGTATAATAAATCATATTAGCAGCATCTCACGAGAGGTCACAAAGAAAACGGGGAATAACAGGTAAAACCAAGAGGGCAAAACTGCCCCTTCAGAGTGAAGTGTATGTGAAGAAAGGTATTAATGTTTCATCTGTGTTTTTTTTAGATCTTAACCTCAGTATGAGGTACATATTGCATTGCATTTCAACCCTTTCCCATTCACCAGCTATTGCAGAAAATGCAAATGAATTGGTGCCTTGAAATTATTGAGCTTCTGCTGGTAAACAGAGCTGAAGTGATTTGCAGCCTGTACTCGCATTGGATCCATTGGGGGGAACCAAGTAAAAAAACAAACTGATATGCAGCGTCACTTTTAGTGACGTTGTTTCTGAACAAAAATCATATTTCACAGTTTTGACATTCACTGCAATTACATAATTGCAATTGCAAAACTGTTTTGTTGAACGTTGGGTTTCAGCGAAAACACTGATCTGAAAGTATGAGAAAGAACTTCCTCTAAAACTTTTAACCAAAGATTGCCTAAGGATATCTGACTTTGCCAGTATTGTTGGAACTGCAAATCCAACAATGGTTCACTTTGGTGCTGATGGGAGCCCACAAACCTCCATTTAACATCCCCTTTACGTGGCATATGAATTGCTGACAGTTCCGCTCACACTATCGTGCTGCGCCTAGCTTACTTGGTTACTGCCAGCCTTGAGTGTGTCAGTAGCATGTTCAACAGGCAGAAGAGGAGGGCTGTGTGTTGCCAATGCACTGCCTCCTGCAATGGGTCCCAAATGTTGCCAGTTTTAGCCATCCCGCACGCACGTGCTAAATGCTGGAGGCAAGCACGTGCTTGGAAGCGGTGATGGCGCTGCATGCTTGGCGTTGCCATGCACGGTGTTAACAGCGCAGTAGATGTACAGCCCAAAACCCGCTGCATTCACCTCAGACCTACCGGTTTGCCCGACATCGCTCAGATCCCAGCACACTGCGCACACAGGGAGATGCCATTGCCACCCAACATCGTCACATCGCATGCAAAGTAACGTGACAGTGTGTGCGGTGTGGTGAATTGACCGCCGCGTGTGTGGTCCTAGTGAATCCTACGTGTGCGCATGAGGTTAACTCAGCGGAGGGCTCACACTCAGGGCTGTGACCACAAGAGTGCTGCTTGTTAAGCCATGTCTTGTTACTGTTATGCCACTATTCCAAACTGAGGTCTAAGCTAAACACTCCGTTACTACTTCTCTCGCTCTCCTTATTGTATCAATCTTTATCTTGCATTGTAAAATGAGCACATGGTACCACCCATTCACACTCCAGCTTTTGTTTTCTTGCGAAATGTTATGTATGTTTAATATCTGACGTGGTCGGAGGATCGATTAGCTCTGTATGAGATGCATTCTTGTGAATGTCTGCACCTTCTGTGACTAAAAGCAACCTTGCTTGAAAGACGCTGATTCAGAGACTCTTGGTGGAAATTCTAATTCTCCGGAATGTGAAAAGAATTTCTTCCGAACAAAAAGTCAGGCAGATTGGCTGAGCACCTGATCAGTGAAAAATTGTACATGGATCCCAGACAAAAGAGGAAACTGCAATGCTGTATATCTTCTGAACACAACACTTCTGCACCAGCCAAAACCTTTGAAAACCGTTTCAACATTGAGGCCGCAACGTTGCCATTGATTGGTGCTGCGGTTGACACAGCCCTGTTATGAGTGAGTGAAGCAATTAGCAAATTTTGTCCATAAATGTAGATGTTGAAGTGATCCAAAATATTACGGATTGCAGAGTGAAAGGGGCTGAACCTGACAACGAAACTCATCCTTTACAGCTTTTACAGGTCCTGCTAGAAATTCCCCCAATAGTCTAAACCTACTTTGCATTTTACCTTTTTATTTCTCTGGTCTTAACATTATGGTGAAACACTGCTGTAAATGTGATGTATTCTTTACCATGCAAACTTAGTTCATATTCATCCAAATTTTTAGTTCTCTTGCACAGTGGTTGGTTTAGGGTGGCTGTTGCCTTTTGTATTATATTCAACTGGATTTATTTTTAATTATTAAACAGGCTTAAGAATCATGAAAGCGTGTTGCGTCTTTGGAGTTTTTGACCTGCACTGTCACCCAGGAAGCATTTAGAGTTGTGATTCGGAATCTGTTTCTACCTATTTGAAAGGTGTGAATTTTTTCGTGTGCTTTTTCTGTTGCTTTAATCTTCCTGCCCAAATCTTCTCTATTGGCGAAACCTTAGGCAAGTTTCCTTACTCCACACACCTCTGTTCACTGAGTAGTCAGGAGGAACCCGGTTGTTAGTTGATTGGCGGATTGGTTTCTGGGGTAATAATCTCTTCAAAAAAAATGATAAGATTAATTTGGTCACCCAATCCATGACTATTTTTGGGACATGCAATTGGCTGCCGCATTTCACCCACAAAATATACAATATATTCTGTGAAGTGCTTTGAGACGTCTCAATTATGTGATAAGACACTACTTCAAATTCAAGGATTATTATTATTAAAATGTCCTCAACAGCACACCTTGCAGCTATTTCCAAGACATAATTTTATAATATTGTTTCCAAGACATAAGCAAACGGTATTTTTTAAACACAATCCACATATCCATATGAGACAGCAATAACATTGCTAAAGAAACTCAATACCTATTTGCGACAATGTGTTTCCCTGGTCCCTTGATCTTTTTAGTGCTAGGCTTGTTTTAATGGCTCATTTGAGGGACAGAAATTCTTAATGCTGAGCTACCAATGTATTGAAATGTCAGCCTGGCCTGTGAGCTCAAATGCACAACAGCAACAACCGCAAGATTGCATTTATAGAGCGCCTTTCACGTCGGGAAGACGTCCCAAGGCGCTGGAAAGTTGGGTCAGGACCCGAGCAGGGGGGAACTGGTCAGGGTGAGGGGAGGGAAGGGAGAGAGCGAGGAAGGGGTAGAGAGTCAAGAAGGGAGGTGAAGGAACGGTTGAAGAGAAAGGTCTTGAGACTTCATAACTCAGAGGCGAAAGTGCAGGATGTAATGTTTAATGTACGACTACAATACAAAATTTAATTTTATAACACCTTTCGCGTCAGGAAGATGTCCCAAGCTGTTGAGATATAATGTAATGCAGATGTATTTTTTTCACATACAGCCTAGGAAGTACTGACAGAGTGTATTTTTATGCAGACACACTGCAGACAAGCAGCCGTTCATTATTTTATAAGTCAATACACATTTCAATGTCACACAGTGTTGGTGTGAGGCTTTAACAGGGAAATCAAATTGTACTACTTGGTTTAGCAAATAGCAAAGGATCCAAAATGCTCATCCACTAAGATTAGTAAATTTGGCAAAGATTGAGGAATCAAAAACAACAGCTTGGATTTATATAGCGCCCTCCACGCCGGACGGCGTCTGAGAGCGCTTTTTTTCACTTGTGCAATAAAAGTGCAAAACAAGGATAGTTTACTAAATACTGTACAACACTTCTACACTAACACAAAACAGCTTTTATATATTTGTACCATTCCTTGCATCCACATTGCTCCCTATCAATGTCACTCAATGCAAGTCCAAATAAACCATCAGGCAACTTAATAAGTCACTATAAACTGTGATTCACAGTAACAGCAAGAACATCAACAAAATTTGCATTTATATCGTACCTTTCATGTTAGGAGGACGTCCAAAGCCATTGGGAAGCCCTCCCAATGTGGCTATCTATGAACCAGTCAATGTTTACTCATTCTGCAGCATTATTTCAAAAAAGAGAGATTGTCTAAACATTGTTTTTTAAAAGAAGTAGAATGCAGCGTGGTTGTAAACGTAGGGAGGAAGATTTTGGTAAGAGAATCTGTTAAGAGAATATATTTCCTTCAATGAGGCTCCATTATAACATGATCCGTTATCAATTTGAATACATTTAAAAATTCATGCAGCTGTGGCTTAGGGTGGTATTTCACTTGAATCGTCCTTCTTCCCTTTGGAAGAATTGTTCACTTGTTCAAAGAATCTTGCGATATTGGACATTTTAAATCCACTCTTGAAGCTCCGGGCAGCAAATGCGTAGATGATAGGATTACTGGAGTTACTAATGAAAATTAAAACTTTAGCAACGATTTCAAAGCAAGAATCAATACTGTTCAATCTTTTCGAGAGATCTGGGTTTGAAGTCTTGCTCAGGACAGCCAAAACCTTAATGACATTTCTTGAATGATATGGTAACCAGCAAAGTGCAAACAGAATCACCACACCCGCAATCAGCCTTCCAGTTTTACCCTTGTCCTTGGTTTGGAAGTTCATCAGTTTGACTCTTTTGAAAATAAAAGTGTAACAGACCATCAGTGTGATGAACGGAATGACAAATCCAACCAAGGTTTCTAGCAGAAGAACTGTGATCTGCTGCTCATCGGATGAATATCTTCGTTTTAAATGTGGGCGCCCATCTCTGATGTCAGTGGCAACCACTAGGATGACAGGAATAGCGGAGAGAAAACCTGAAAGCCAGACAGCAGTGACCACTTTACCAACATGTCCTCGTTGCCACCACTTCTGAGCGGTGATCGGATAGAGCACAGCCACAAAGCGCTCAATGCTCATGACTGTGATGAGGAACACGCTGGTGTACATGGATGAGAAGAGTAAATAGCCGCTGATTTTCCAGAAAACCAATCCAAGGAACGGAGCATTTGCAATATCGGAAGCGATAAAAGGCACCAAGACGAGAGCCATGAGATCTGCCACAGCCAGGTTTAATATCAGCGAGACGGTGGGAGATCGGTGCTTAATATTCATGAAGATATTCCAGATCACTATGGAATTCCCTGTTGCTCCAACAAGAAAAATCAAACCATAGATACAGGCAATTGCAGTACGCACTGCAACATTAGTGTGATGAGTTGTATTCAGTCCTGAAGACATATTGCCCGGCATCATTCTGGTAACAATTTGCTCCGTTGCTTTTACAATCAACCATGCATTGAAAACTCTTCTCTCCAGAATGGATTAAAATGCAGTTGTTTAAAATAATTGATTGCTGCTTCAGATAGAGACGGTGCTTTCATCAGTAGATTTTCTACGGAACTGAAAACAGCACAGCAGAAGGGTTTTGTTTCACAAAACGTAATGGGGCATTGCAACATAAGCAGAAACCACAAACCACAGTTCTGGATGATCTGCAGCCCATGGAGGGAGGTGTTGAGGAAGCCAACATGCAGGAACAACAATAACAGGATTCCATTTATAGAGCGCCTTTCACGTCGGGAGGACGTCCCAAGGCGCTGTACAGTTGATTCAGGACCCGAGCAGGGGGGAAATGGTTAGGGTGAGGGGAGGGAAGGGAGGGAGCGAGGAGGAGGTAGAGAGTTGAGAGGGGAGCTGAAGGCACAGTCAAAGAGAAAGGTCTTGAGACCGGCCTTGAAGGAGGAAAGGGAGGAAGCAAGGCGAAGGCACTGGGGGATAGAGTTCCAGAGCCTAGGGGCTGAGAGGCTGAAGGTGAGGATGAGGTTCTTGAATTCGATCCTCTGGGGGATGGGGAGCCAGTGGAGGCGAGGGCGAGGGTGAGAGTGATGTGGTCGCGGTGTCTGGTGCGGGACAGCACACGAGCTGCAGAGTTCTGAATGACCTGCAGTGTGGAGGGAGGTGGCGGGAAGGCCGACGAGGAGAGAGTTCCCATAGTCCAGCCTTAAGGTGACAAAGGCATGGACCAGAGTTTCAGCAGCGTGAGGGGTGAGGTAGTGCCGTAGTCTGGCGATATTTCGGAGGTGATGGAAAGTGGTGCCAGTTGTGGTGCGGATATGAGGAAGAAAGGACAGCTCAGAGTTGAACAGAACCCCGAGGTTCCTGATGGCTTTGAGAGGTGGAGAGTGCAGCCTTGGATGCTGATGCTATCAGCCCCTGAGGTGCGGAGGCGCTGACGTGAGCCAATCAGGAGGGCCTCAGTTTTACGCACGTTGAGCTGAAGAAAGTTGTCTCTTGTCCAGGACTCGATGTCGGACAGGCAGCTGTCAGGACGTCGGTGGTCGTGGAGTTGAGGGTAGAGGAGGAAATGTAGTGTTGGGTGTCATCCGCATACATGTGGAAGTTAACCCCATGTCTGCGGATGATGTCACCAAGGGGGAGCATATAGAGGGTGAAGAGGAGGGGACCGAGGACAGAGCCCTGAGGGACACCGCACGAGACAGTGCGGGGGGTGGAGGAAAAGCCGTTTGTGGAAACAAAATGAAGACGGTGGGAGAGGTACGACCTAAACCACTCAAGGACAGGGTCTTGAAGGTTGAGGTGGGAGGACAAGCGGTGGAGGAGGATAGCGTGGTCGACCGTATCGAATGCTGCCGATAGGTCGAGGAGGACGAGGAGGCAGAGGGAGCCCTGGTCGCAGATGGTCAGGATGTCATTGGTGACCTTGACCAGGGCAGTTTCTGTGCTGTGGGCAGCACGGAAACCCGACTGAAGAGGTTCGAATAATGAATGGGTGGAGAGGAAAGAGCGCAGTTGGGAGGCGACAACTCTTTCGAGGACCTTGGACAGGAAGGGGAGGTTGGAGATGGGCCGGTAGCTTGATAGCTGCGACGCATCAAGGGAGGGTTTTTTCAAAGTGGGAGTGATGGTGGCAGTTTTTAGGGGAATGGGAACAGAGCCAGAGGAGAGGGACAGGTTGATGATGTCTGTGATATGTGGGGCAAGGAGGTGGAGCTGAGAGATAAGGAGTGGAGTGGGGATGGGGTCAAGGGAGCAGGTGGTGGGTTTCAGGGATAGGATGAGTTTGGTGACAGAGGGTGAGGAAACGGGTACAGGTGTGTAGGGGAGGATGGGTAGGAGTCGGAGTGTGGGAGGGAGGGGGTGGAGGGTGGGTGGAGGTTGGAGGGGAGGTGACCGTGGAGCGGATTCCCTTGATTTTGGATTCAAGTAAATCCAGCATCTCCTCACAGTGAAGGTTGGAGGAGATGACCTGCGCGGGGTGGCGGGGGGGATGGAGGAGATGTGGTGGAGAACAGAAGCCTGGCGTTGTTCTTCGCCTCCAGGATTATCCTGGAGTAAAAGGACGACTTGGCCGAGGCTAAAGTGGAGCGGTAGATTTTGAAGAG